GGAGAGGGCGGTGGGTGGCCTCATGGATGGAAGGAGGAAGCCCTCCGTGACGGGGTCCACGAGAAAGCCCGAACGCAGCTTGACGCTTATCGCTAAGAGGTGAAGAGGACTTTGTGTCTGTCTTAGGGAACAGGCCACTGCATCTTCGTGTGCGACAAAAATCTGCAATGTAACATCCCACAGCGGTCCCCCACCCGTGATCGAGCGCCTGGCCCGGGAAGGCCTGAAACCTGCCACGATCAGAATTCCCATTGTATTTGGCTCACAGGGCCAGACGACGGGCGAGAGCTGCCCGTGAAACCCTTGCACACGCGTGTACTGTCTCCTGTGCTGCCTGCGTCTGGGTGTGTTCGCCACAATGTGACCTGACTCACAACCACCAGGCGGCACACGGGGTGTCGTTCTAAGTGCCTGGCGCTAGGACTCTCCCAGTTTAATCAGACTCCACGTGGACTCGTCTGAGGACTTCCCGGTGTTTCTGGATCACCCCCAGCCCCATCTTAGAGAAATTAAAACGATTCAGGACACTTGATCGTTTCGGCTCCTAAAGGTATTTACGCAAAGGCAGGTTTCAGCTCGACGTGCGTGCAAAAGTACCGCGACACCACGTCATCACGACAGTCCTCTGTCTCGCAGTGCACACCCCCGAAGCAGACCTGCAGCTCTGGAAGGCCTGGAAGACCACACGGGGTATAAGCACCCCGCCCCCGGCTGGCCGTGGACTTGGTAACGGATCACGTAAGTAGCACAGCGTTCGTGCCGTGGATCGTGGTCTCTTCATGTTAAAATTGCTCTCCGCAGCCCAATTCCTTTTTCTTTTATTTGGTGCTAATGAACCCAAGTGGATCTGAGATGATTTCCGCCGTTGGGAACAATCCCCTCCGTCGGGGTCCGTGAGCCTCTCTGCTCTGCCTCTGGCTGCAGGTTCGCTGTGAACAGGGTTAACTGCGCCATCACTTCTGAACTTCACACTCAATCGCCCGACCGTTGAGTGTTTTACAATAAAATGCTGGATAAAATGCTTGGCAGTGGCAATAAAAGAATTCAACCCCTGTGGTCTCCCTCTGAGGCCAAAGACTGAAAAAGCTGGTTTCAGGGATCTGCCAAGCGTTTGCCACACTGGATGGTAGAGAAAAGCAAATCTAAGAACAGTCTGGCTCAATAACCATGGTAACAATTCAAGGTGAGAAATACGGCTCTTCTCAAGGTTGCACAGGATGAGTTTCGGGGTGTGGATATTGCTGGACGTGTCCCATTCCCCTGTCCCGTCTTATGACGCACTGAAGTCCTGCCTCTCACACCTGTGCAGGGCACGGGAAACGGGGGACACCTGGGAGGTGGGGGCGTTTTTAAATCTGTTCCCTGAAGGACGTACCCACTGCTAAAGGCCGTGTCTGTCTAGGGAGCGCCCCTGACGGCATTTTAAGAATAAAAAGACAGAGACAAAGAAAAACTCAAAAGCAAACATGAGTGTAAATTGTAACGGGAAAATATTTTTAGTAAATCTCTCAGGAACGTTCCATGAAGGAATGATGGCCTCCTGAGAGATCCTGCCCCGCCGTGGAAAGATTTAAAATGAGTTGTCGCAGATGCCGGAGCCCTGTCCCCACCAAGCACCCCAGCGAGGAGCAACGCCAGAGTTCAGCAGAGCGCAGCACGCGGACAGAGCCACTCACCCTTCACGCTGACTGTGATGTAGGGATCGATGCACTGCCCGGCATCCTTCAGCCCGATTTTCTCGATTCTGATGGTGAGTAACGTCATCCCCGGTTCTGATGGCAACCGCGGCAGCAGGGTGCCTGGCAACGGAGAAACGGCGGTGAAAACGAGCTCCGCCCGGGACTTCGGAGTAAACGTCTAACACAGAGAACACACGGCCTCCCTCTTCACTGGCTTAGTAACGAGCCAGGCGTTATTCTGGTTTCTAAAACTCCCGAATGTTCCTTTCAGACAAATATTTAATTAAACACAAGATACATCTATACTCTCATACCTCATAACGCGAAAGCAGAAATTGCTAATTCAAGTTGGTTAAAAATTCAACTCAGTCCAGGAAAGTATAAAATTACAAAGTATAAAACACTTGATAATGTACATAATAATGTACTCATATAATACATGCGCTTTACGTAAATTCATATACAGTACACCTCTCTCAATCTGAAGCGACAGGATAAAGACAGAAGCAGCTTTTTAAGAATGTCATATCCTAAAGTCTAGGAAATTTAATACCAGAATCAATCAACAAATCTTTTGGTTACTATGGATGACGAAATAGCATACAATTTAATATTTATATATTTAACTGAATGATTTCTCACTCCTTCCTTCATCCAATGCTGTATGATCACGTGTCAGAAATTAGTCCTGCTGAGGATGCCACACGAAACTACGGGAGCAACTACGTTTAAAATCCTTTCCGTATACCATTTACACGTTTTACAACTGAAAACCACCCGGAACCACACAAGGCATGTCCCATGGAGAAAATACATGAAAGAAGAAATCGATTGTACGGTTTGCTCATTTATTTCAAATCATCTGAGAAGAACAAATGTAAACAAGAGTTGATTTTAATCTGATACATACATAGTGCCTCAGACTGCATGACCTAACACTGATAAAGGAATTTGGTTAACACTCAAGTTTCTGCCCAACAATGTGTCACCTGACTTTTAATGATCAAGTATCTGAAGTCTGGGAATCCATTAACTTACTACGTCACAAATAGACTACGTTTAATCGACTGCAGACAGGCTTGAGGGAACCATGGGGCAGAGAAAATATTCTCAAACTGCATCTATCAAACTGATAGACGCACAATACTACAGACTTATCAAAAGCCACTGGCTGGGCCACTTAATAATTTGTGAATTTTATAATGTGAAAATTCTATTTCAATAAAGTTGTAAAAGAATAAGAGTGGTTAGAAATGAGTTAGAATTTTTACTTACTAATTTTTAAAAATTGAGAACTCAGAAAATGCAGGGTTGGGAAAGACTAGAGGCTTCGCCCCAGTGTGGCATGAAGAAATCTTAACGGGCTTGGGATGCTAACTCCAAACACATACGTGGCATGAGACCCTTCAGGCTGGCTTCTCTGGACTCTTCTACAGACGAAGGCACCTCAAGAAAAGGCGCTTTTAACTGGACTCGAAGGGAGGGGCTTCAGCGTTAAGAAACCCCTAAAATACTGCCATTGCGACAACAGGCGCGGACCTTGAGGGCGTCATGCTGAGAGAAATAAGTCAGAAAAGGGCCAAAACCATCCGATCTCACCCTTATGTGGAATATGAAACAAAGCAAGCAACAAACACAACGAAACAAAAACAAGCTCAGAGGCGCAGACAACAGAGGCGGTTTCAGAAGGGAGGGGGAGGGAGGAGAGCAAACTGGGCAAAAGCGGGTGAAGTGCGTGGTAATGAGCGGATATCGGCCTCTAGCAATAGGCTGTACTTGGGCTGCTTCCCCGAGCTGTCTCGCTCCGCTGTGCGGTCTGTGGAAAACGACCCACAAATGCAGCCGTGGGTGCCGCACTGGAAAATCACAGCCACTGACAAGGTGCTGATCACGCTGAGACTCTAATAATCATGTAAGTTACACAGGGCGAAGCTTTTTAAACAAGTCATATTCAATTTAAAAGGCTCGGGGAGTGAATTACTTAGTAGCAGAATTTAATGCCCAGAGAAAGAGAAGTCACACATTTGGTGAGAAGCTAATAATGCCGGCATGTGAAATGATAGTTTAGGACAAAATGCCATATAAGAAATTGAAAAGCTCCAATCTCAAACGGTACAATCAGTTGATATATTGATGATATTGCAGATGATGCGGAAAAGGTATTGTGATAAACTATAAAAACAGCTTCTCGAGCATTTGTAAGATCTACTGATGGTGAAAATCAAGAAAACCTTTTCTGGCTCAAAGGCCCAGATGGACTGATGTCCAGTCTTCACCTGTCTCTGGAGAACTGCGCCGGCAGCTGCACTGAGGTGTCCGTCACAGCTGACGCTCCTCGTGCGAAACAGAAAACCCTGACCCTGTCACAGCTCACGGCTTTCTTCACAGAGAGGTTAGTGACAAAACTCTTGCAGAGAAAATGAAAAGTTCTGGATGACATCACAAAAATGGCAAAGCTTATATGTGTTTATATAAAGACCAGTTCACTCCAGAATGTTTTAGAAACTGTGTGAAAACGTTGACCAACCAATAGAGCAAGCGTGCACGTGGGTGTGAGGGCCTCTGCCGCTGTGGGCAGGGTGGGGGTGGCAGGGCAGGCATCAAGGCCCCTGCGGGCCGGCACAGTGTCCAGTGGTCGACACCATCTCCTGCGTGCAGCTGGCCCGTCGGTGGCCCTTCGTCCTTCGCCGATAACTTGTTCCCAGGAAGCTGATAACTGCACAGGTCACAGCACAAGGAGCGAGATGGCTCCTCTGCTGGTTCAAGTCTACGTCGTTTGCACTGCATAACGCCTCGTCCCAAAGGAGTATTAAAGATACTGGCACAGTACTGCACTTCTATTACCCAGAGACTTCCCTGGATGACACGACTGTATTTAACCATAAAGCTTCTGGAGTCTACTGGAAAATGCATCACATTATAGCGTATCGCTGTACTTCGTAAAGTGAACTAGTTTATTAGAAATGAAAACCCCAACAGTACGGAGTAAAACAGTAACTGGGATAGGCAAGAAATCGATCCAGGTGCCTGCCCTAGGTTATCTATGGGGAGAGCCTCAGCGATATCTCCTGCAAGTAACAGGCTGGCCAAACGTGATTTGCTTGCCCAAAACAAGATGGGAAAAATAAAGGGCATTTGCTCAGTACCATTCCCCTGGATCCTGTTTTGATGACCACAATTTGATTCATTAGAGCAGTACTCACTGTAGCTCTCCGGAAGACCTGCCTGGCCCAGGCTAGTCCGGGAACCTGGGTTTGGGGAGGGATCCCCGTGGCCTCTGGTAAGAGGGTCACTAGGCCTAGGCTGCCTATGCACACAGTATGGATTATGCTGAGTATCTGCCTCCTCTGAGCGTCTGGAGTCTGGGCCAGCGCTAGGCGGAGGGGGCCACGTGATCAGGCCCCAGTGACAGCCCTGGGCACTGAGTCTCCAAGCGGCTTTGCCAGAAGGCGACAGTTCACAAGTCGCTGCTGGAGGAACTAAGCGCAAGCATGTGAGTCCCGGGGAAAGGGCTCCTGGAAGCCGCTGCTGGCTTCCTGCCTCATGCGCCTTTTCCCTTCGCTGACTGCTTTGTGTTCCCTCGCGGCGACAGAGCAGCGCGGTGGTGGTGAGGGCGCCCACGTGCTGGGTCCTCCCAGCGCATCAGCGAGCACGAGGGTGGAGGGAGCCCCGACGCAGACCTGAGACGCTTTCAGACAGCGCTTCTCCAACAGCCACTACCAAAACACGGCCACGAAACCGGCTTCAGACCGGCAGAGCCCTGAACAGGGTCAACTTCCCGCTAGCGACACCGAAACGCATCCCCGACGCCCCGACCGGGACCATGTCACGCGACGCACATGTGCCGACACGCGGTACCCACCGGGGACCCTGGCGGGAAAGGAGTCGGGAGACCCTGCTCCAGCTCCGCCCTCCTCTTCATCTTCTTCAAATTCCAAGTTTTCTTCTTCGCCGGGCGCTAAAATTCTCCTACATGCAAAAGGACAGAAAAAACAGCAAGCTGCAAAACGAAATGTGCTAGAGAAGCCGCAAGCTGCTCCCTTCCCGGGTCAGACATTGATATAAAAAATATTGACATAAAAATGTTGATATATTGATATCAATGATATCAGTGTTGATATGAAATATCTAGAAATATCCGAAAACGGGTGTAAAAGAAGATGACAAAATAAGAGGACAAATATTAGTGCTTCTTTATTTTACCTTAAGGGAACAGGCTGAACATCAAATGGGAATTCTTTATTATATGTAAGAATATTCTTTAGGACTAGAATAGAAAGAGAAAGACACATGAATTCTTTCAGGAATCAAAATTTAAAATTTTACCATAAATGACTTTTTTTTAAATCAATTTTACTATGCATTTAAAAATTAACTTTGTAAAAATTCCTAGTCTTAGCATCATCCAAAATCACAATGCATTTGTCCATTGACTTACAAGTCTTAACAGAACGAAAATACCCGTAGTATATTCTAGGTACCAGTAATTTAGAGCACTATCAGATCTCCAAGGAGAATATGTTCCAGAGTCTCAGAGCCCTCATGGAAAATGAACTTAATGGGAAATGATCCCCAAAATAGTTATGTGAGCACCAGAGATAAAAACGCCTCCCTCCTGTACTATGTCAATCAAAAGACATCAAAGATGATCAGTCGGAGGTCCATGACCTTGTCCTATTCTGTGTCCCGATTAGATTTCCCCTCAACTCCATGAAACTGGTAACGTTTGCTAAACCTGGTTATAATTCTCATATACAACATTTATTACACGCACGTGTAACTTATATACACACATATAAAGTTTATCACTTACGTAAAGGTTATTACGTACACACGTATATGTGTATACACACACACACAGGAGAGATCTATCCCCAAGGGAAGTATCCTAACAACGTGGCACCACCCCCAGTCCTACGGCTGTGGTCGATGATGACATCCTGGCATGTGAACTTAGGTCAACAATTCTGCCTACACCTGCAGAGGTACCGTAAGTGCAGACCCCTTGCAGAGGCACTCCAAGCACGGCATCTCGGGCTTCTCATGTAGCCTACGGCTTCCCAGTAACCACCTGCGATCGCAGGAAGGTGCAGCAGTGGCGGTGACTGGGCGATCCAACAGGTTCCTATGATTTTACACTCAGCTCACGCAGCCTGGTTTTGGACTCCTGCAGCTTAGAGTTGAAACAGGCCTGGCACACTGCCACCCCAGTGCGCAGGTTGCAACCGGATGACTTACTCCCATAGGTGTAAGGCTTGTTTACCAGATGTCTTGTAACATAGGCTCCCCTACTGAGTCCATCAGTGAGAGCGAAGGCCAAGTCCAAGTCTTGAGTCTAGATTGTCATGATTCTTATTCTCTTTCTCCCTTCCTCCAGCTCTCGCCCTCATCCTTCCTCTGTCTTTCTTCTTCTCAACAAATGTACAGTGAGTGCCCATAATATCCCATATGCTTTAGGTGCTGAAGAAATGGCAGTGGCCAAGGCAGGGGCTCCTGCCTTCGTAGGACCCGACTTTGGAAACACAGACTACGAATGTGCTAATGAACTGCGAAGGCACGGACGGGACGACGGTGCAGGAGCACGGGGAGAGCGAAAGCTCAGGGGACAGAGCAGGCGGCATCCGAGCCCTGACCCGGCCGGCATGGCGGGGGCTGTCCAGAGCAGCCCGGGGGCCAGGGCTCTCTGGGTTCAGGGTTTAGGGGGCAGGCCGGAGCAACAACAAAGGCCCCGAGGCAGGAACCGGCTGGGCTTGTTCAAGGAAGAGAACAGACCGTGCAGCTGAGGCCTGACCCGGCTCGGGGGACAGAGCAGGCGACATCTGAGCCCTGACCCGGCCGGCGTGGCGGGGGCTGTCCAGAGCAGCCCGGGGGCCAGGGCTCTCTGGGTTCAGGGTTTAGGGGGCAGGCCGGAGCAACAACAAAGGCCCCGAGGCAGGAACCGGCTGGGCTTGTTCAAGGAAGAGAACAGACCGTGCAGCTGAGGCTGGATAAGCGAGGGGGAAGTGGCAGAGATTCGAAACCTGATTCACTGACATCACTAGGGATTAACATAAGAAAATTAAATGACTAGTACTTTCAAGATCTTGGTTTTAGTATATTTCAGAGAAGATTATAAGAGATTTAAAAAACCTTGGAGGAAAAATACATTAGCAAAATAAAGCAAGTCTTACGTGTTGAAAAGTACAGTCATTCATTAATTGTTTTCTTAACAGTCTCAAAAAAGGCAGAGGCCAGCCTGACACAGTATACTTAACTTGAAATATAGTCAAGTGTCAATTTGAAAAAGATGACTAATTCTGATAAAACAATAAATTCAAAATTACAGAGGATATACTACTGAGATACAACACATACACTGATGTTCCCGTAGAAGGCAACAGCAATTAAAATCCTCTAAAAAGAGATTAAGTACCAAGAAGGGAGAAGTCCGTATGAAAAGCACCATGTAAATTCAAAATATAACAAAATGAATGCCAATAATACTATCTTTCCTTTCCATTCCCACCCCAATCTTAAAAAGATAAAAACAAGCAACCGTGAAAACAAGAAAGAGAAGAGACCAATGCAGATGTTAGTCCCGCTAATATACGCACCAATAACCTCTCAGGAGCTTGAACTGGAGTAGTAGGATATTTAGAATTGATGTCAATATTGCACAATTATAGGTATTAATACAGAGGGTAGGGTCACTCAGAACCCTGGTAAAAACCCGGTTCTGGCATTTATGAGCTGTAAGGTCATGAGAAAGTGTCTGTTAGCAAATTGCAATTGAGTAGATTTATCTGAGTGCTTGGTATATAGCTGCTACTCTAAAAAATGGTAGCCACTGTCACCATGAAAGATCCTGGGAACGGGAGAAATAAGTGAGCATGTTTACAGGAAGAGATAATAAATATCTGTGGATGAATGGTTTATAGTCATTCCACATATCTAAGGTTCTAAATTTTATTAAAAAACAAACTGGAAAAAAAAAACTTAACAGAAAACAGTAAGTAAATAAGGAGCCAAAATCCTAATTATTCTTATTAAAAAAAATTGAGCATTGTAATTTTCTTTAGAACCATTATATGATCATTAAATAACCACTACAGCCTCCAGTATGCTTTTCTTAAAATAATAGTACATATAGCCAATTGCAAAAGACCACATATTATATCATCCCATTTATAGGAAATGTTCACAGCGGGCAAATTTACAGAGGCAGAAATTAGATTAGCGGTTGCCTTGGCTGGGAGTTAGGGAGCTGGGAGTTGGGGAGCTGGGGGAGTGCCGACCAGTACCGGGTTTCTTTCTGGGGTGATGAAAACATCCTAACATTGACCGTGGTGATATTCAATACTTGTGCTTTGCCGATATCGCTAACATTTCCTCTAAGGGACCTTTCATTTGAACCACCAAAAAAGCTTTATCTGGCAGCATCCTAAACACCAAAACATTTGAAGCAATATTTTACAACATTTATTGTGCAGCTCAAACAGCTGGACTATAGCTTCTGATGACAGAGTATAAATGGGCATCGATGATTATAATGTAAAATTCTCCAGCAGATGCTACTATAAATGCTTACCAAAGTAATTATTCTCTTTTAAAGCAATTGAAACAAAATAAAGGCTAAAACATGTAGATATAGGTAGAATATAGAATCTAATAATTTTCCATATTCTAAATAAAGGTAAACCAAATAATAGTTACTATAAATATTATAGAAATTACAAAAGCGTGAAAGAATCACATAGGGCTAGATACGAACAGAAATAAATCAAATAAGCATTTATGCTAAATAATGGGAATATCTCTAATAAATTTTTTTGAAAGGCGTATCACTAAAAAATAGAAAATGAAACTTACTTGGTTCTAGCTTCTTCAGGTCCTCCAGTTTAAATTCTTCTTGGGACTGTGTGGACTGAATTTAAAACATGCACATTACATCTTTTTGTTATAAAGATTTCACTACACTATGTGTCTTTTAAGTGGCGAAAATATTCAAAAAGTAGCCAAATTAAATGAATCTATTTCCTGCTTTCAAAGTAGGAAAGAGAAGTCCCAAAATGGTTTTTGTTTGTTTTGAATTTGGGGAACATTCAGGCTAAAAATAACAGAAAAAAAATAATTAAAGTCATACCTTTTAATTCTATAATTTATAAAATGTGAACTAAATCTTTTAATATGAGCTTAAGCCATGAATTCCTAGTGTTATAAACCTTTCTGAGACAATACTGCTTTTAGCAGGCATGCTTAATGTTATATCGTAACAGCTTATAATAATTTCTTTTCCTTAATTTTGCAGCTTTTGCAATTGGTTTATGCCAGAAAAATAGGGAAAAACCTGTTTACCTGTAAAGCTGCACTTCGTAATTCCAAGCACGTTGCAATCTTGCCTATGGTTTTCTGTAGGAAAAAGAGAAAGCTATAAATACCGTATATAACTGTGAGCTCTCAAAATCGGCAAGGTAATTTTTATTGATAAAGGATGTACAATTTTAAAAAACAAGTTAAATTTTAGTTCTTTTTAGCATCTTGCAGATTTTAAAGAAGAGAAACAAGAGGCAAAAGGCTGGAATAAGGGAGAGAAGGCGCCACCTAATGTGCCACAACCAATTTTAAATCAAGGTTGCTTTGATGATAGCTTTATGATACAATTTAAAGGGCCATGAAAAGGACTTCTGACATCTTCCCTCCCAAGCTCTGCCTTCTCTTCTTCTCCACAAAGCCTAAAATTCACTGAAAGATTTCAAAATAAGAATATCTGAAAGTTAGCATAATGGTATAATTTAACGCTGACTGAGTTTAATCCTGACTCATTGGATTAAATACGCAGACAAATACTAAGTAAAATCAAGAGTGTAATGAATGGTGGCAAATTGCAGTCAGATCTGTTTTACAGAATATGAGCTATAAAATGAATATGAGTGACAGGGCGTAGTCCTTGCCTTTAAAAAGCTCACGTCCCACTACGTAAGATTAGACGCGTACAGAATCACTGTGATATAAAGAAGAGACACTTGATTCCGCCAGTTTCAGCAACGTGAGCCGCTGCATGTTCCAAAGAAATAAGACAAGACTGGGTTAGGGATCAGCTCCAGGGACCGGGAGGGCTCTTAAACTAAAGAGTTTAGAAACCGTCATGGTTCAATTGTTTACAGTTGCAAACTGAAACCGGGGAGAGACAGGTTTGACACGTGAAGTATGAAGGAGACAGGGTCGTTCTGAAGGGGACCCCCAATGACTGGCCGAGGAAGGTTTTACTGCGGCGGCAAAGAATGACTATCGGGGATGTCCTTTAAGAAGACTGTTGTGACAACAGTGCCCATAGGCTGAAGGGGAAAAGCGCAAAGGCTCAAGGGAAGATCAGTCAGCTATTTCAACTCTCCGGGGAGGTGACGATCAGAAGAAAACGTGAGTGACCAGGCTGGAAAAGGAGACCGGCAGGAAAAATACCTGTCTGCAGGACGGCCGCTGAACTACGCCATCAAGTCCTCCCGAGACAGACATTTCTTAAGTATTTATTAGGAGTAAACACAGACCGTAAAAGTGAAGTATTTTGGTGCAATATTTGCAATGCCATATTCAAAGACATATTCTGGAAACAGATGACATGATTTCTAAATGTACTGATGACTTGCAAAAGTTTAGTAAACTGGATTTGGTGGTTTTCTCTACTGTCAATTTTCTTTGCAAGATAAATGAGGGGCAGAGCGGAGTGACAAGTGCTGTCCTGCCCTCTGGCGCTTAGGTTGGCGGGCGCTATGCCATTATCATATCGACAACAGCCGGTACAGCAACTCACAAAACAGACCACGACTCAGCAAGATATGACTCCTGGCCAAGGCACAGGAACAATACTTACCTATATCCGCAATCTGAAAATTCTTCTTATCTCAATATAAGAGTTTAGAAAATACCCAATTTTATTCTGAAAATTTACAGTTAACAATTACATTTAAATACAGCGACTGCAAAAGAGTTCAAGATACTCAAACTTATTTACCCTGTCGAACAGCTATTGTGTAGGAACCAGCGAGCCTTTTCTACATAAAATCTCATCAGCCCCAAATCACTGTTGTTCAAACATACCACTCAAGTCTGACGAAACTGGTAAATCATTTGAAATGCAAATATAATAATACGGTAATGGTTAACAACTTTGAGCATTTAACTAAGTGACAGGCTCTCCTAAGTGAATATACAAACATTAATTCATTTAATCATCACTATAACCTATGAATTAGATACAATCACTTTATAGATAGGAAAATTGAAGAGGTTACGTAACTTTCCCTAAGATCAATGCCTTCTACACACAAGCAAAATACACAACAGAGCAATAATACACTTTTTATGTTCTTTAAAAAATGGTTTTTAAAAAGGATTGTGTCTGTATTAAGTGAGATGTATCAATGAGTACGTCTCTAAAAACATTAGTTAACTTCTTTTCCTTCTTTACTATAAAGTCCATTTGATTTGATGCTTTTAACTTTTAGGATAAAATGTAGTTTAACCACTGAGTCCACTAATAACCCATTTTAAACTTAAACATTTCTTCAAGTTAAGCAGAAGCGACAGCTTTTTACACAGAATCTACTGAACTATGGCAAAATACCAACAGGCATTATTCATAACTATTTTAAGGGACCACACCCAACATCAGCATTAAAAAAGAAATGAAACACTATCATTTTCAGATGTAGCAATGACTTCTAAAACATGTAGCATTTGTCGATGTCAGAATCCGGTGCTTGCTACTGTAATTGTTTCCCCTTTCTTAGAAACAAATGGTTCAGAAAACTAATTGAGAAGCACAAGGTCACTCGTGCCAGGTCCTAAGTACATTAAGACTAAGCACTGAAGGTAAGTGAAGTTAATTTTAGAAACATTTAAATTATTAGCACTTCATTCAAATGACTTGCTCGTGCCTAATATGGTACAGAAATGGAAATTTTCATGTTCAGAATACTGGCTGTTTTGCTTGGTCATTGCTAGGAAAACCGACAACTCAAAGAGAGCAACAGAAGGAAAAGATGGAATAAAAATTACACAACTAAAGAGCTCAATTAATTTTGCTAAAACACGTTCAAAATAATAGGTTCCAAAAATACACATAGTTGAAGTGGTCTAGTCACAAACCAAACTCAATTTTTTAGATGTAAATAGCCAGTTATCTACTCTCTAGCTGCAGGGAGGCAGGGAGAGGAGCAAGAAAGGGGGGTGGCGGTGGAAAGGGGAGACCTGTAAAACACAGAACAAGCAGACAGTGCTGGGATTCTCATCACCACCAAGTCTGATTCAAACAGGGACGACTTTCTAAGCATCATGAGACAGGATGTGCTGTTTCGCCCAGAAACTTACATGAGGAAATCTGTGACACCGAAGGAGGGAGCTTCATGGCACGAAAGCTCTTGGCAGCTGTCCTCTGGCTGCGAAACCCAGTCGTTACTATGACAAAACTATTGAGAACTGAAAGCGAAGTCAACTAATCACGAGGGAGGATCAGACAAGAATCACGAATTCTCTTACTTTCCACTGCAAATCTCTAAGAATACTATGGATAGAAAATCCATGTGAAGATTTTTTATCAACAATTAGTAAAGCTTAGAGAGAGCAACAGTTCTGCTTTAGAGTTTAGACAAAATAAATACTGTGACGATGTGTATTTCATTCTCTCAGAAATTAGGATTTCTCTTATCTTAAAATAATCATATGCAAATAAATATCAATAACCTGAGCTCCAACAAAGCATGTAATATTTTTAAAAGCTTACTGTGAGCTACACAGTAAAAAGCTTCATAAAGAAAGCACTCTAGAAATACGGTTGGTTTTTGAAAAATCTTTCGAAGTCCCACAAACTAGAGAATGGTTGGCATAATTCTCAAATTTGTCACTATTAACAAAAACAGTGAAAATAATAAAAGCATAAAGATTATAATTCCAAATACGAAACATCAAGAATGATTTTGCTGAGAATAACATTCTCCATTTTCCTCTTTTGAGGAAAACGCAATTGAGTTTATTCTACTTTGGCTTATGTGCCAGGTCTGGCCTTCAATTAATTTTGCAGACCTAACAGTTGGTTTCAGAAGTTCCCATAACGTGTTCTTTCAGAACACTAGACCTAATGAAATGTTCTATAAAGGGAGAAGAAAAACTGCCAAAGGCAAACAAATTTAAGAAATACTCCATTACCCAAACTCTCTAAAGATTCAACGTATACATTAGCAAATTAAAAGCCCTGACAAGTCGCAAACTCTCTCTGTTGAAAGTAGATCTATTAATTTTTCAGAGCAAATGTCCTCCAGACCACACCTGGGAAGCCTTTGTTTTCTAATCATTTAGTAACTTGGAGCCTCGAACTTCTTCCTTATGTGACATTCAAATAAGGCCGATTTGTCAACATGAGTTTTCTGGCCCGCTGGGAATGTGTCACCTGTATCTGTCAAGAAAACTGAATTTGTGAATGCACACAACTTGCCTCACAATCAGAATGTAGCACACAGTGATTTGGAGGTTCTTCTCCAAGCCCAAGGATAGGCAGGAGGGCACAAGCTCTCTGTAGTCACAACTGGCAGCCACAAATGCCTCCTCGGCAGGTATCATAAATAACAAATACCGCAGAAATCAGGTCTCCAGGGGAGAGCGGTCCAGGACACCTCAAAGGTAGAGGTATGAGAAGGATTTAGAGATCCCTGTTGCCATTGTTTAATGTTATTTAATCCCTCATTTTGTATATAAGGAAATGAAGGCGCAGAGCCAGGGCCAGTGCTGAAGACCGAGTCTCGGACTCCAGACCGCAGGCTCGCTCATCTGGGCCACGCTGCCCCCTGGGCCTTAGAAAGTATAAGGTCTGTGTGTCTGTGTTAGCTGAAAGGAGACGGCAGCCAGGTGGCTGACTAAGAAACGACGGTAATTAAGGAATAAAGAAATAGGATTACCGAACACCACCTTCACCTTAGAAAGCGAAAGAAAATTAAGAAAACGTTATTTTTTTTTCTCACTAGTCTAATCATCACATAACAAAGCTCATTTCTTGACGGCATTTAAAAAAAAATTTAGTGTGTTTTATTTCGGTCCGATCACTTTGTACGTGATGTTGCTCACAGTCCCTACACCTAAGGGACAGAAGTTGGAGACAAAGCAAATAGGTGGTTAAAATATCAGGGTCGTTAGAGTTTTAATCCCCGAAGGCTTCGCACTGTTTCCACATCCGTAACACACTGTTAGCTGTTAATTTACAGGCTCAGATATTTGAGATTCTGTTTCAAAATTTAGGTGTTTTAACTCCCAATACTGTGATGCCAACTGATCACTTCCTAATCGATTCCTGGACAGATTTCACAACCTTCTAGGGGCGATAGAATATACAGTCTTTGCTCCTTTCCTTAAGCAAACCCATTATTTCTTCTGTGGTAATTATTTTCCAGGGCTCGAATCCTAAATTTTCTGAGTCTATTGTGGGTATTAATAGTTATTAAGAAAAAGAGACAAATACACATTTAAATTATAGCAACGTGTTTCTTTTTCAACACAAAAAAGTATATTAGATGTAAATGTAAATCCTGAATATTTTTAAAATGCAAACATAAACTTAGGTAAGAAATATGGTTAACCCTAATCTTTGGGGATTTTTTTCTTTCTGTATTCCTATAAAAAAGAGTCAAATGAATACAGGCCTAAGGACTAAAATTCATTTGTTTGGGCTTAAAGAGTATGAAAATATATATATCACTCCCACTCCCACCCCTTGCACACACACACAAAAAAAGAATTAAAACAGATGAAGTCACCATAGTTTTCACAATGTCTTTTTTTAAGAGATGACGGAAAATCGGACGCACTGATTTTTTTTTCATTATCGATGAGACTAAAATTTGGTTTGACACTAGATACTCTGAGCCAGGAAAAAATGGCTCTCCCAAAGTAAAGCTTCTTAAAGTATCCCATTTTTCAGCGTCTCAAACAGTACAAGGAATCAGCCTGACACATTAAAATTTTAATTCAAGGAGAAAGAGCACCATTGAAACATTTTGCAACCTTATGCATTTATTTCGCTGACACATTCTTACGCCACATTCTTGAACTAATTTTTTTCGTGCTGGCTTTTTGAGGGTTGTTTGTTCTGAGAGGAGGCAGAGAAAGAGTTAAGAAAGTTCAGAGTTAAAAGTAAGTATTGAGGTGGGACGCAATTAAGCAAAATCAAACTGCAGTCTCTGAACTTGCCCACCCCCTCAACCAGGGAGGGGATGATCTCCGGGACAGTTAAAAAGTCTAAATGGCTGAGTAAAGAAATTCATGAAGTGAGAAATTCATTAAGTGGTAAATCATGTGGTATTTCTACTTGATCACTTAATATTTGGCAAAGCATAAGTATTACTCTTTGTACTTAAGTAGGACAGTTTTTGTTGTCTGGTTTTGCTTAATGGACTCTAAAAGACAGGACCCTTTTCATCTGGAATCAGATATATCTAGAGATTATTTTATGGTACCTTTTGTTCTTCGGTGAATTCAGAATTATTGTGTTGAGCTTGGGCCTCTTTCTGTAGATGTCTTGCTAATCTGTAAGAAAAACGTGCGTTCTTTAGGATTGTAGGAAAGCGAGCTATCTCAAGTACAACAAGGTGAAACAATTTAAATCTTGTAAAAACAAACGGTGAAGTACAATAATACTTTGTTCTGTTTTCAAAGTACAAATCTATATTATCTTCATAATGAAACTCTTTATACAATGACAATGACAATAAGATATAATCCTTTTCATACCATTTCAGTGGGACAAATTTCAGTTCTAGGCAGGAAAAAAGAAACCTTAGGGCTGAAAAGAATCTCAAATGGCATTCAACCCAACTTCCTTTATTTTTTTTTAATTAATTATTTTTACACCTGCAGCACTTGGTCTTCCTAAGTGGTCTCCCATCCAAGCACTAACTAGGCCCGACCCTGCTTAGCTTCCGAGATCAGACAGGAGAGGCTTGTTCAGGGTGGCATGGCCGCAGCCCAACTTCCTTTAGCATGGATGAATTTCCTCTACGACAAGCCGACAAGCAGTTGTCCAGATTCTGCTTAAACATGTCCAGTGCACACCAATGACAGTACCAATCAGAGATGCTTTATCCATCTATCATTCATTTGCTGATAAGATTAGTCCAAATTACAGCTGTGCCAAAGTGATAATAACCAAATTATACTTCTGAAAACATTTTTCATGGAAATTAGAGAAAAAATGAAAATCATTGTTTGCCCAATTATCATACTTGAAAATAGCAGTTGGGCCGTTAGTGAGTTTTCAAACACATATCTGTGTTACGAATCCAACCCGAAAGTAAGAATCCAAAGCGATTTACGATACAGCAAAAACCAAAGGATTGACTCTTACAACTATACCATAAAAAGATAAATAATTCAATTTAAAAATGGGCTAAGGATTTGAATAGACATTTCTCCAAAAAAGATATAAAAATAGCCAATAAGCACATGAATATCATATCATTAGTCATTAGGGATACACAAATCAAAACCACAGTGAGATACCATGACCCACCCACTAGGATGGGTATACTTTTTCAAAAGAGAGGGAAAAATAACAGATGTTGGCAAGGATGTGAAAAAAGTGGAACCCTCAGACAGTACTGGTAAGAACGTAAAATGGGTCAGTCATTGTGGAAATCACTCTGGCAGTTCCTCAAAACATGAAACAGAGTTACTGCATAACCTGGCGATTTCAAAATCCTAGGTAGAGTCCTAAGAAAACTGAAAACATGTTCACATACAAAAAGACCTGTACAGCATCAGCACTATGCATAACAGCCCAAAGCGCAAATACCCAAAATGTCCATCAACTGATGAATGGATAAACGAAAAGGAGAACATCCATTCAATGGAATATTGTTTGGCCGTAAAGAGGAATGAGGTACTGACACATGCGACGACACGGATGGACTTCAAAAATATCACGCTAGATGAAAGGTGCATGTAAAGACCGGGTATCACATGCTTCGATTTACGCCAAGTGTCCAGAATAGACAAATCTGTAAAGACACAATGCAGATTAGCGGCTGCCAGGGGCTAGAGTGCGCATATGAAGTGACTGCCAATGAGCACAAGGGATCTTTCTGTGGTGAGGGAAACGTTCTAGAATTCGATTGTAGTGATGGTTGCACAACTTGGTGAATTCACTAAAAATTTGTTGAACTGCATATGTAAAACGTAAATTTCATGGTATGTAAATTATCTCAGTAAAGTTATTTTTAAAACATTTTGTAAATCCTAAGCAAAAAAATAATAATTTTCTAAATCCATAAATGACTGCGCCACTTTAAGACAAAGTGAGACATGACTATATCCGCTACGGTAAAATCCACATATTTTGGCTATCAGATGAGCAGGTAAAAGAGTTGCCATTCTATCAGTAAAGGTGAGAAACCAACCCGACATTCTTCTCTAGCGAATGACGTCACCTTTCAAGGGTACCTACCCTTGAAAAATCAGGACTGTTCTCAAGGGGGAAGTTTGAAATGCACTTTAGGCACATGAACAAGTGACTGACAGCAACCGGAGACAGAAACCAGTGCTTGTCGAACTATCTGCAGTGACGTTCCAGTTCTTTCCCCCCCTATCTGTTCCAGGCTAACACTTTATAAAATACGATAAAAACTATTGTGAAGATGCCAAATTGCTAAGAAGTTTCTAAATCACAGTTTCTTCATCTCGCAGACCGGCACTGACGTTTGGGGCACATTTCTGGGTTCCCCTGGCAGAGGCGTGGTTGAGGTGATATACGGCAGGTACCAGCCAGTCTTCACACTCATGTACTTACTTAACAAATATTTTGGGGCCATCCATGGGCTGGATTACTACCCCAGGACTGATCCTGTGAAATACCTGATTCTGAGCCACAGACTCCATACCATGCTACTGAAAATCAGGCGTCATGTATCCCCGGGGTGCTGAAAACAGTGGTCTGCTAAATGGAGTTGCTTTTCACTGATCATGCATATTTTCAATAGCAATTTTAGTTTTGCTATCATTTGTTTAAATGTTCCAACAGTATTTTGGCATCAACTCTTTAATGCTCCCAAGTATACTCTGGAGTTGATCCATTCAACAGAAAACAATAATTACATAATACCTAAATAAACAAGTATTTAATGATAGCCTAGTATACTCTGGACACTTAGGAAACGAGAGAACAAAACAGACAACCCCTCGGATACCCTGCCCTCAAAGAGCTTACATTCACGTGGGGAGGGACGATACACCATATGAATGTGTAACGTATATTGTACTTTAGATGGTGAGAAATACTATGGGAAAAATTAAGCGGGATTGGGGGGCGGGTAGGATGAGCAAGGCTGAGGAGAGGAGGTGGGGAGGGGAGCAGGCTTCGCAATTTCAATAGGGTGGCAAAGAGGGCCCCCTGAGAATATCTGAACAAAGACCTGAAGGAGGTGCCCAAGTGCCTGG